TAAGGATATCTCAATGAATGATAACCTATACTGGTTTCAAATTTTTGATGTAGAACATGCACTTTTCTTAAGGTGGCTTTTAACAACATGACCAATATAACCAACATTAACAAATATTAACACACGTACATGATATACATAATTATCCGTATAACGTAGACTAATATTAAGTGAATGTGCGTATAGTTGACGTACATTTGTCATGTCTGAATGTAGAACATTTTCTTTATGTAGAAAAAAATACCAAACATATATTTATATATTTTGTGAATAATTTTATGTGATAATTTTCCATTTAATTAAGCTGTAATTAGACACTGGTCCGTTACATTATCTCTGAGTAAGTTCTCGTAAAGCTATATTTTCTCCAATCCTATATTGGAAGCAAGTTGTTCGTTGCAAGTTATTTGTTCGCGCTTATGTGTGTTTGCTAGATTTGACTTTATAAACCATTTAACTTCTGAATAATAGAATGTAAAACGAAATGAAAAGAATTACGAGAATAGCAAGAAAGTTAAGGCCAGTACCAAAGATACTTTAAACTATTATACGATTACAATATGAAATTATCTTTGCCGGCTAGTGTTTTACGAATGGATCATATTTCTTTGTAAGAGCCTAGTCAATATATAATCAAAGAGTACGGACAGTCATTCATAACAGTTGTCATCATCGCGCGATATAAGAACTCTTTCTTCACTTTAGAGAGACATATCCAAATGTCATCAGTCAATCTCATTTCAGTTCTGCATTTAACTATACACATCTCGGTTTCTCTTCTCCGAAAGGATTCGGTTAGATAAGAAACGAATATAAACGTATCGTGACGAAATATGCACAACAGCTTGTCGTGTCATTCATGGGACCAAATGATATCGTTCATAACGCTCCTCACATTACGTAATCGAACCTGATTCGATAATATGAGCATAGATTACTGAGAATCGCATAGCAACAGAATGACTAAATCTGTGATAATGTCTTTCTTTCGGTTGATATATGAGAATTACAAAATAGAGAATTGCTGAATGCATATCATTTAAGATATTTTTTTATTTGTGTATATTTTTTATTTGCGTACTAATTTGTAAAAGGACAATACCAAATTTGTTTCTAAATGGATATTGAAAATTGTGGCTTGATGTTTCAGATATCTATTATTACATATTTAAAGTTTTACGAATGACAAATTAATTGTTATAAATCCTTTTGTAAAATACTGCAAAAAATACGATTTAGGCAATCGATTACCTAAATTGTACCTATGAGTTTTTAAAATCGTATTTTCTTTGTAAGAGCCTAGTATTAAAAGTATTAAATTTATGAATAAAAATAATTAAGAATATGAAATTAACGGAATTATGAATTGATTCTGTTTATTTTTACTCGTTATTCGTTACAAATAACTTTTTTTAGTAAATAAACGTAATAGTAAAAAGTTACTTTTTAAAGTGACTTTTTCAATCTTATTAAAATTTTAGTGTGCAGTTAGTTAGCATGACAGTTATAAAAAATTGCAACGTCATTACCAAATCGATTATTATAAAAAAATAATAATTAAAATAACCTCTTATCCCTGTTAATTAATAATATAAAGTATTCATGAAGATAATTTCAGCGACTGATACATATTCAGCAATTCTTCATTACATAACATGAGAGGGAGAAGTCTATTGGGAGGACTTTATATACATATAGGATTTATTGAATTAATAATTAATATTTATATAATTAATATTATTACTCCTACAAATGGGGAAGTTCACTGATGTGAAGATAAAATTTTTATATGTAACGTAAGCTGGCTAATATTTTAATATAATTTTCTTTGTGATTCGAAGATTGAAGTAGAATTTCAATACTCATTCCTATTCTTTCTTTTACATGTATGTAACTAAACTTAACTTATCCTTCGAACGACACACATGGGTTATTTGTGTTCAATTCAATTTTAAGGCTCTTAAGTACTCGAAAAATTCTGTAAAAATACACACATGTTCTTTAAGGTCTCTATTAATTTTTACTAAATTATTCTGCTATGTAGACATTGGAAAAAAGTTCAGAAAAATTAGGAAAATAATTTTTTGCATCAGAAAATAAGAACTATTAGAAATAGTATAGCATAGATACGAATAACCCATGCATTCTCCTTTATACGCATATTATAGTGCATCTCATTCAAAATGGCATTGCACGGTGAAAGTTCGTGGTAAGCAGTAGATGGTTAGAGAACGGAAATTAAAGAATTTCCGGGTAACAATTTCCTCTTTACTTTGTTCTCTTACGATGCAAGGCGAATAAAAAACGAAAGAAGAACTTAATTCTTCAGTCGCCATGTGACCTGGTCACAAAGTATTATATTGATAGGAATAAGACGGCAGATATTGTACTATGTATAAGAAATTGTATCGTTTCATGAAATTTGTATTCAGAAATTGTATATCTTTTACGCTTACAAAAAAAAAATTATATTATTGAAAAATCTTGCAAAAGAAATATTACGGTAAATATAATCTATCCGGCACATATATAGTTAATATAATAATACAGTGATATGATACAGTTGATACACAATACTATATAATAATTTGCATAGAAAACTAGTCTGCCAAGATGATGATGCCTCTCTTACAATCAGGCCTAGTCAAAAGTTTGGACTTTTTGTTTTATAGATACAGTACTATGCATATCTCATAAGTACCTAACAAAATTTTGATGAGAATTATATGAAACATTTATTATGCATGTATAAAGAGTATAACAACAGATCGTCTAAAGAAAGTGTCTATCGGAGTAAATTTTGATGCATAGGAATATACATATATGGCCAATGTTCTTTTAAACAGTATTATAGTTTAGTAGGCCAACGCACCTGCGCGCAAACTTTAAAAGGCACGTTGCACCCCTTCTCCATATCAACGGGCTCCTCGTCCTTTTCCCCGGAACCCTTCCTTGTCTCGACTCCTCCCCCATCGCTCTCTATTCTTCCTCTCTCGCTCTCATCGTGTGCACACGCGCGCACAGCAGAATGTGGTTGGCCAGATACACCTGGGCGCGTAAAAGGAGGGAACCAACTCCAAGCGTTCCAGCGCCACGGCACTTGCATCGCGCCGTTGTCTATTCCGCTGGGTCGTACGTATCGGGTTTTTAGTGGTAGAGGGAGTAAAAGGGAGCTATCGACATTAGCTGGGAGTAGGACAGTATTGGTGTTCAAGAGTAGACGAGTGTCGAGGGCATGAAAGGAGCCATTTCCTTATTTTAAAAACGATCCGGGAGTCTTTAGTAGGCGGAGTCACAACTACCAGATGCGCCACCATTGGTTGCCACATTGTTTAATATATCATAACGTAATTGTCGAAGAATTGGTGTCCACGATTCTATTGGCTTTAAGACTCCATTTATCTTTATATCCATTATTAATCTTCTCCACAGATTTCTTTAGTTTAGATAAAAATGCATGCATTTATTCAATACGTGCTGCTTATATGATATATTTCTCTCACGTTTGAATTTTTGTTGTATTTCAGATGGTCTATCGGAGTTAGTGATATATACATTGGAGGAGATGTACAAATCTTTCACAGTGTGGCGTAGTCCCACCAAGATAGAGCGAATCTTGCGCATTCTCGTCAAATATGCTCGTGAAATAGATTCGAGGATCAAATTTAATGGTTTTTTGGAATATTTTAAAGACTCGATTTTTAAAGGTAAGACATTTTTCAATATTTTTTTATTAAGGTAAAAAAATAAAATATAATACTTCTAAAGAAAATATTATCAAACATATTAATTTTTAAATTAATGACTTAGAAATATGTTATATTGTGTTCGCGATCTAAATATTTATAAAATGTATTTTATTATATAGCAATGTGAATGATAAATTTTATAACTTATAATGATGTTAAGTAAAATATTTAAAATTAAAGGGGAAGATTTTTTTTATTTGTTACTTATATAATAAAAAGAAATAAGTATTATACGATAAATCCAATATTATAAAATATTAATTCGAATTTTTCTTTTTCATAGCTACAATAATTCGTCATTTGAAAATTATTCGCCAGAATTTTGTGCAGAATATAATTTTACTATCTATAATTATATATTTAATATATTATTCATTTTTATTTAAATATTATTTATTTCCACCTTGAGAATTATATACAATTCCTAAATTTTTCAAACTTAACACGTTTCGTTAATTATTGTCAAAATTCGTAATTAGATTTGATTACTTCTTGACAATGCTTTTGAATTTCATGGAGTAGTAATGAGAATTGATTACGCTTAAACTAAAGTGTAAATTATATGCAAATTTATACATTCGAAAATTGATACAAATTTAATTTTCTGGCAACTAGCAACAAGAAGATATCTTAAACATTTGCCGATATCAGATATAAATCGTCGACATTGGTGTGTAAATACTACAAGTCTTTAGAAGTACTTTAGAAATTATAATTTTACTGAAAATTGAAAGCTTTATTATTGTTATATTCAAAAGATTGCAACAATTTTTTTAAATCAAAAAATTATGTTGTTTTATAATGTCTAATGTTACATATATTGAACTGTATATTTAATGTAAAACAGAAATATTTGCAGAAAGAATTACAGTAAATAATTTATTTTTCGTTTTTAAATTATTTAAATTTTGGCTATGAATCGCACGTGTTTATTTCCTTCTCTCAAGAGCCTTATCAACTTTAATATGAATTCCGCGTGTACCTGACATCCCTAAGAAAATACATTCTCGGAAGATACATTCTCTTTATCTTAGATCACATTTTGATGCAAGCCGATGCATGATATTAGGTGTTGGAATTAATTCGTAGCGTTTTTTAATGAAAGAATGTTATTTATTTCACATGAGCATTAAAAAATACATTAATGAAAGTACTTCCCATCACTTGTAAAACGCTACGAATTAATTCCAACACCTAATAAATATTAATAAAGTAGTCGATAATTATTGCAAAATCAATATCTTTATCGCAACGCGCGAAGACAACTTTGAAAAAAATATAAAAAAAAATCGATGAAGAATCTTGATTTTTTTCGTCTTAGAAGAAACAATCTCATCATTGAAGATAATACCTTACCCTTCATGTATCATGAAAATCATGATACATATGAGAACCTGTTTAATATCTCACATTTAAAATGCAATTCGCAAGTTCTATTTGTACACTCGACATTTTTAATTCCACTGTCGTCAAAACTTTCACTTCGTCGAAACGCTTTACGGAAAACCTTCTTGTCCACAATGCCAAAGTGGATAATACATGAATAATATTATTGATGATTTTCTACACCTGAAGATCTTTTCCTTACATCGAAAGTCCTATTTTGAACAGTGATATTGCTAGAAAATAATTGATGATTTTTTTATAACTTTGCTGAGAAAAAAAATGATTTGAGTGAAAATCAATAAACCAGAATCTTCTAGTTTGTTCATTTTCAATCAAATTTTTCCCAGTGTTCATAATCAAAATAAGAAATAACATTGCTTACAAGTAAGGATTATGTGCAGATATAAATAATAAATAAATGAACTCATTTACTTTCCATTATTCACTTTATTGATAAAGAATTTTTGCTAAAGGATTATCGGTAAATTAAAAATATTTAGTTTGTGGGGCCTAAGTGAGGAGTTGCCAATAATACATTTTATACATACATATGACTATACTTAGAAGCTGCTTGACGTACAAAACTAACATATTACTGCTGCCACTTAAAATACTCTGCAGTAAATATGCGAACTGTCGTGCCAAGCAGGAATCGTTACTGCAGTTATAATGTATGTAATCATCATTACATACTCGTCTCAACTCTCCAACGATTGCTAAATTTTACTATTGGATAACAGCCAACGTAAACGAAAATGAACTTCGCCACTATGTCTGGTTTCAATAAGGTTTCAAGGTCGATATTTAATTTCCGCTTCTCAAAAAGATATACTACGCGTAAAAATGATATCCATAATAAATGTTTGTCTGAAGGATATTAAAAACGAGAAAATTGACTCGGATTTTCATTGAACACTATACACACTTCAATATTCTGATAAGAATTTTTAAGAGATTCAAGCTTGCAATGTAAAAAGGCACAATTGGATTATTAAAGTATGCGCTGCAGATCCTGCTTTATTCTGAAGAGAGTAAGAAGCGATCTAAGGCATCGAAGAAAGGTACGATGCTTTTTGCTAACTATGACCGTGGATAATCAATACTCGGACAAACCTTCCTTCCTCTATCGTAAATTGCTTCGGTTCCGGATCACTAACCATTCGCCCAGAACCGTTGCGAGATATTTAACGATCGACGAACGATTTGCGGTAGTGTTAAATTTATAACATTATTGCACCGTGTTGCATTTAACAGCAAAGTTGTTGACGATTTGTATCATTGCAGATCTCGCAATCAAGTACGTGATGCGCTATTTAATAAGCTCCTGATACAATCTCGTATAAATATCTTTGTATGACACATTTTTACGTGACGCTAAAGCTATTAGTTTCAATTTATATGTGTCCGTATCATAATTACATCTTTTTAGTTGAGTAAGTTTGCGTGTGTTAAAAATAGAATTAAAAAAATTAATTTCATTTAATATTGTCTAAAAATTAAATTTTGAATGTGTTTTTCATTGCATTTTGATGTCCCAAAATCATCAAGTTATTTCTCAATCACGGATTTTTTTATACGAATTTGGATTGTCCTGTTCATAAAGAAGATTTGAAATTGTTATCTATAGCTTCAATAATTTTGTATAGTTTTTAATTTTTTAATTTTTAATAATTTAAGTTTTTATACTAGATATATTTCCGATTAAAGTTATGTATTTAGCGTTAAATTTTTGAAAGTGAAACGCTTAAGTAGTCAAAAGAAGAGAAAGGAACATGTGTAATGTGTTAACAATCAACTGACTGATATTTGCTCTAATCTGGCCATTATAAATTGCTTAAGCCGCTTAGTTTATTAAAAAAAATAGAGTACATTCAAAATAGATCTTAAAATTACAATCTATAATCATATATAATACAACACTTGTTGAGATTCATAATTGAATATGATTTTAAATATGAATTTTATTACAATATAGGATGCTTGTTATATTCTTATTATTTTTGTAATATTTATATATTTTTTTGTCATGTTTCAAATAATAATACAATAGTTGTATCTGTATAGTTATATCAATACTTCTTTTATTGATTATTATTATTATATCCATAATTTGTAATCAAATCATCTCATTCATTTTTTTGCAGACTCTCTAATTAGTCGTTGCTTAATAAATATTTTGTTGTCATTATATTGTTAATCCTGATCACTATCGTTTTGGAATAAACATAACAAAGAGTCAATACAATCTCGATCTTGTTTGCTCGGTTGAATAGCTACAATATTTAAGTCGACACGAAAAACGACATTCCAACGATGATAGTGTGAACAAGAAGACGGTTAATGGCTTTATATTTTATTGAGCACATGGTTACATACTATTTCTAACAAACACATGAAATCATAGAAGGATGCAAAGCTAATGTGAGTCAAACACATAAAATATATGAATTCATACAAATATCAAGTAGTGTGTTACAAAATTAACGTATAGAAAATCAAATATCAAAATTGATGTATAGAAATAATAATATATTAACAGAATATAAAGTGCTCGAGTCGTCAGTTGAAACATGAAAAAAAACTATCGCGTGGGTTTATAATGATCAAGGTATATATTTTAATTTAACTTGATGTATAATTCTGAAACATCTCAAACGTAATTTAATTATACGGAAAATATATTTAACAAACGAGGGTATCTTAATTGATGCGATCGTACTGTCTTTCTGGAAAAAGATATGTGCCTTTTGTTGACTAATTTGATGCATAACCAGCACGCGTGTTTGACAAGTCTAATTGCATTGGAATGACACTCACTTAAATAGCGAATGTCCACACCTCTGCGCACGTGTCAGAGATTAATGAGGTTCTTCGTGGAAAAGTAAGAATGCTTTGCCATAAGAACAGTAATTGCAGTAGAGGTAGCGGTTTAGTGTAAATAATGAATCAGCAATACTAATGTGCGTATGGTGCCTGCACGTTAACTGCCTGCCACATATCGATATAGCTGCTACAATTAGCACGAATGTAAAATAAGCACATTACAACGATACCACTTAATTGAATTATTGCATTTGAGATAATTTTTTATGTTGCGTTAAAGAGAACTATTAGGTGTTGGAATTAATTCGTAGCGTTTTTAATGAAAGAATGTTATTTATTTCACATGAGCATTAAAAAATACATTAATGAAAGTACTTCCCATCTCTTGTAAAACGCTACGAATTAATTCCAACACCTAATATTATATTAATATAAACTTAATTTCTTTTTACAATTAAATTAAAAATAAAATACTTGATTGATTATTTGCGAGAAATAATTAGAATTTTAAAAAATTACAACGTTGTTTTAATGTTGTATCGGTTCAGAATTAAAGGCACGATATTCAATGCTCTCAAGTTCAAGTCGTGATTAATATTCGTTACCGTGACCGACATAGTTTTAAGCGTAACATGAATTATATCATAATTTAATGATAATTGCATGCCGACATAATGATATCGAGAAAAAAGATGAACTCACTATATTGCGTAATAAAAATGCATTCGATTGCTCCTTAATTATCGGTTTATCACTGATTTGTTCGCTGTATGAATTCTAGTGAAATAAATCGGATAATTTGATTAATGCAATTACATAAATGTTAATTATTTTAATACAATTGCATAATTATTAATTGTATAAAGATAATAAATAATTTAAAGTTTGTACAGAATAAATATCGGTTAGTTTCTGCAATTGCGATTACGTTGCATAAAAAATGATAACGCGATCGTGATACTGCTAATAGAAAAGTATGTGCGTGCGTATACACTTTCTATTAGCTGCACTTGTTCTTGCATGCGAGCGAGTAGTGATCGTCTCACGCTCTGCGCCACAAAATATATTTTCATACATCCCAGACGAGGATTTTTGGCACGCGTTAGGCGAATACTTAGCACGATCGGTCCAACTTGACGTGTTATAACTGAGAGACATGCAACGCGCACCAACGTGATGTGTAAATAATCTCATGTTTATGTTGCTATTCGCCGCATTGCTATTAATCTTTCTGTTGTATCTACCGTGACGTATTTTCTGTAGTCATTATATACTTTATACATGTTTAAACAATCATTTCAAAATGTTATAAATTTGGAAAAAGGAAAAAAATTAGTAAAATAAGAAATTAGTAAGTAATTTTGAAATGCATTAGTCATGAAAAATAGAAATAACAAATAGACATTCTTTTCAAAGAGGTTTTTGACACTTTTTCGGTAAATAAAATAAATATCATAAGAAAGAATTCTCAGTATTCGTGCGTATATGTTGTTTTTTTAATCAGAATCAATAAAGTTTATTGTGTCAAAAGAACGGGTCTCGTGTTTTATTGAGAATATGTTGGATAACGTGTCATTATGGATCATTAATATATCGCGAGGCTATCGCGTATCACACGTTGAATCTTGGCCATTTATGACTGCTAGAATCACTGGAGACACGATTGACCTTGTGCAAGTGCACTCTAATCATGTGCTAGATATATCGCTAACAATAAGTACGAGTATACGCAGTATAAGTGTGTCGTATCTACGCATGTAGAATTGCCAGGAGTAAAATGGAAAAGTTTTGTAGCTCAAATAAATGTTTGAATGAAGGATGATTATATAATTTTTTGAAATCAACGATTAAATAATGTTGTTACGCAAGTTCCGAATATATATTTCTTAGATATGTGCCATTATGCAACATTACTATTTAACGTGCATTAACATTATATAAATTAAACAATTTCAATTATTAATTAAGTTGCAAAAATCATATTAGTAGATAGGGATCTGTAATTGCAATAATACGATATAAAATTAGGTATATGTTAATAACATCAATAGCATAATTTTTCGAGCGATAAACCAAAAATCAGAAATCAGTTTAAACGCGGGAAAAGATTGAGACTAATAACCTCAAGATCTATCTTATATCGAACAAGTAGAAGGCAACTTCATATTCAGGCCACCCGTGGGAAGATGTTGTCTACTCAAATAATAATTTCATATGATTAAGAGTTTGATTGTGCTAATAATTATAAAATTAAAGTCGAATGTTGTTCAAAAATTAAATACAGAAAATTGAATACAGAAATAACTAAGTACTAACGAAACTAGTAAATAGGACAACGTCGTGGTGAACGTAATTTATATTAGAAGTATATTATCTTGCTCTAACAAAAAAATACAAAAGTGCTTTTCATAGCAAGCAGGCGGAAGATTCGAGTAATGTTGCATGGCCTCATTCAGATCCAGTATTTGCTTGGAGAAGTTCCGTTAAGCACCTTATAATCTTTGCCGAATAATCTTTGAATGTGAAATTTATGTCTGCTTTCGAGAAAGTGACATTAAAACGGTTTATGGAAACGCAAAAGAATAAAAAGTAGCGCAAAACGTATTCTATACTTTACCAGATTATTGAAACTGCACTGATTTTAAAAAAAACTAAGAGAAATTTTTTTTAGTACTTGTCACCAACATTTAGAACAATAATAACTATAATTATAAATAACATGTAATTATAATTACAAATACTACAATTTTTTTAGTGAAAGGCAAACGATGTAGATTATACATAATCTTAATAAAAATTATACAAAAAATTTTAACATATTTTCGATATACTTTAAATTCTGCTAATTTACGATTAAATTGATATTTCTAAAAATAAAATATTCTATATCTGAAATTAATATATCAAAATAATATAAAAAATCCAAACTTTTTTATCTATCCTGTGTATTCAATGATTATGCAAAACACAGGAGAAACTCTTAGTCTTTACATATAAATTTGGCAACATTTATATCGCATATATCTAGGAAATATGCGATACACAGTTCATTAACACATCACGTATTGCGAGATGATTTGCATATGATATACGTGCTCCGTCTCATTAATTCATCGAAACATTAATTTGCACGAAAAAATTGCCTTTTTATACGAGTGTGATGATTATTGCTATTGACTTGCGTGAAAAAGCCAACATATTGATGACAATATTCCATATCTTAAAAATCATTTGATCG